ACGGAATGACTCCTGCCATCTCACAAACGGCATGACTCGATCCTGCCATCTCACTCACGGCATGACTCCTGCCATCTCACTCACGGCATAACTCCTGCCATCTCACTCACGGCATGACTCCTAGCTGCCATCTCACAAACGGCATGACTCGATCCTGCCATCTCACTCACGGCATGACTCCTGCCATTTCACAAACGGAATGACTCCTGCCATCTCACTCACGGCATGACTCCTGCCATCTCACAAATGGAATGACTCCTGCCATCTCACAAACGGAATGACTCCTGCCATCTCACTCACAGCATGACTCCTGCCATCTCACAAACGGCATGACTCCTGTCATCTCACTCACGGCATGACTCCTCTCATCTCACTCACAGCATGATTCGATCCTGCCATCTCACTCACGGCATGACTCCTGCCATCTCACAAACGGAATGACTCCTGCCATCTCACTCACGGCATGAGTCCTGCCATCTCACAAATGGAATGACTCCTGCCATCTCACAAACGGAATGACTCCTGCCATCTCACATACGGCATGACGCCTGTCATCTCACTCACGGCATAACTCCTGCCATCTCACTCACGGCATGACTCCTGCCATCTCACTCACGGCATAACTCCTGCCATCTCACTCACGGCATGACTCCTGCCATCACACAAACGGCATGACTCCTGCCATCTCACTCACGGCATGACTCCTGCCTTCACACAAACGGCATGACTCCTGCCATCTCACAAACGGCATGACTCCTGCCATCTAACTCACGGCATGACTCCTGCCATCTCACTCACAGCATGACTCCTGCCTCACTCACGGAATGACTCCTGCCATCTCACAAACGGCATGACTCGATCCTGCCATCTCACTCACGGCATGACTCCTGCCATCTCACTCACGGCATAACTCCTGCCATCTCACTCACGGCATGACTCCTAGCTGCCATCTCACAAACGGCATGACTCGATCCTGCCATCTCACTCACGGCATGACTCCTGCCATTTCACAAACGGAATGACTCCTGCCATCTCACTCACGGCATGACTCCTGCCATCTCACAAATGGAATGACTCCTGCCATCTCACAAACGGAATGACTCCTGCCATCTCACTCACAGCATGACTCCTGCCATCTCACAAACGGCATGACTCCTGTCATCTCACTCACGGCATGACTCCTCTCATCTCACTCACAGCATGATTCGATCCTGCCATCTCACTCACGGCATGACTCCTGCCATCTCACAAACGGAATGACTCCTGCCATCTCACTCACGGCATGAGTCCTGCCATCTCACAAATGGAATGACTCCTGCCATCTCACAAACGGAATGACTCCTGCCATCTCACATACGGCATGACGCCTGTCATCTCACTCACGGCATAACTCCTGCCATCTCACTCACGGCATGACTCCTGCCATCTCACTCACGGCATAACTCCTGCCATCTCACTCACGGCATGACTCCTGCCATCACACAAACGGCATGACTCCTGCCATCACACAAACGGAATGACTCCTGCCATCTCACTCACGGCATGACTCCTGCCATCTCACAAATGGAATGACTCCTGCCATCTCACAAATAGAATGACTCCTGCCATCTCACAAATGGAATGACTCCTGCCATCACACAAACGGAATGACTCCTGCCATCTCACTCACGGTATGACTCCTGCCATCTCACAAATGGAATGACTCCTGCCATCTCACAAATGGAATGACTCCTGCCATCTCACAAACGGAATGACTCCTGCCATCTCACTCACGGCATGACTCCTGCCATCTCACAAATGGAATGACTCCTGCCATCTCACAAACGGAATGACTCCTGCCATCTCACTCACAGTATGACTCCTGCCATCTCACAAACGGCATGACTCCTGTCATCTCACTCACGGCATGACTCCTCTCATCTCACTCACAGCATGACTCAATCCTGCCATCTCACTCACGGCATGACTCCTGCCATCTCACAAACGGCATGACTCCTGCCATCTCACTCACGGCATGACTCCTACCATCTCACATACAGCATAACTCCTGCCATCTCACAAACGGCCTGACTCCTGCCATCTAACTCACGGCATGACTCCTGCCATCTCACAAACGGAATGACTCCTGCCATCTCACTCACGGCATGACTCCTAACTGCCATCTCAGTCACGGCATGACTCCTGCCATCTCACTCACGGCATGACTCCTGCCATCTCACAAACGGAATGACTCCTGCCATCTCACAAACGGAATGACTCCTGTTATCTCACAAACGGCATAACTCCTGCCATCTCACTCACGGCATGACTCCTGCCATCTCACAAATTGAATGACTCCTGCCATCTCACAAACGGAATGACTCCTGCCATCTCAGAAACGGAATGACTCCTGTTATCTCACAAACGGCATGACTCCTGCCATCTCACTCACGGCATGACTCCTGCCATCTCACAAATTGAATGACTCCTGCCATCTCACAAACGGAATGACTCCTGCCATCTCACATAGGGCATGACTCCTGCCATCTACAAAAGGAATGACTCCTGCCATCTCACAAACGGCATAACTCCTGCCATCTCACTCACGGCATAACTCCTGCCATCTAACTCACGGCATAACTCCTGCCATCTCACTCACGGTATGACTCCTGCCATCTCACAAACGGCATAACTCTTGCCATCTCACTCACGGCATAACTCGTGCCATCTCACTCACGGCATAATTCCTGCCATCTCACTCACGGCATGACTCCTGCCATCTCACAAACGGAATGACTCCTGCCATCTCACAAACGGCATAACTCCTGCCATCTCACTCACGGCATGACTCCTGCCATCTCACTCACGGCATGACTCCTGCCATCTCACAAACGGCCATTTCTGGTGCCCCCCATCCTGATATTGCTGGGATATTGCTTAAAGCGGCGTAAAACCATACTGCTTATGCAGACACTTGAGTTTTCCAAAATATTGTTTGGATAAACCAGGGTATTTTTTTCCATCCTCGAGTATCCAGCATATCATATCATAAAGGAATGGAGATATAGTACGCTGTATAATCGAGGGTGACGTTTTCGGTAGTCCTGCTCTATGAAATATACTAGAAACTTAATCGGGGCGAACCGAGATTCGAACCCACAATCATGACTTTTTGGCGTGTCCAAGGGACGCAACTCTGCACAGAGACGGCGCCTTAGACAACTGGGCCACCCGTTCACCCGAAACGTAGAGGATAAGCCTGTTATGTAAACAAAAGTGTACCCTTTGTGTACATAACAGGCCTCTCCAATCCAGTACAACTACATCTGATGTCTGCTCTACTGTATAAACATTGCCTCCTACCTGTATATATTCGTGTCAACCTCATTCTGTATATCACCTGCTTGATAACGGTGTTAGAACCTACAACGAAACGTCGCTCTTAATTGTAATTAAGAAGTTGTTCATCCATAAATCCAATCTTTACTTATATTGGACGAGTGATGACCGCGGAAAGATGACAGAGGGTGTCATTATTTGCATGGCATTGAGTGCAGTTTGAAATTTTAACTCTGATTTTTCTTATAAAAATCTAATATCTCCAGTAATGGGTTTATTTTTGAGGACAAGAAGATCTTTTTCAGAAAGCTTCGCAAAACAATAGTAACATTGTTACATTTTTTCGATATATCCATTAGATATTGTTCTAGTCCCTATACAACATGCCATTACCGCAACAGCCTAACTTTTCGGGCCTACAGTCAAAGGGGAGGAATAATTTGAATAGGGTCACGTGACTAGAGACATTACCTGAACCATCTTGTCATTACCACAACATCTTTCTGCTTGCAGCTTCTCTAATTTACCTACAATATAAGTATGATAATGCATCTATAACTTTAAGTTCACGTTGATTCTGATTCGCATTTTGGAGTTATTAGTGCACAGTTTTATTTTTATATTTATAAAAAAAAGAACACTTTAGAATCCTGTAAAGTACATAATTTGTGATTTATTCACCTTGGTGCGCCCTTTGGTATTGAGTATATAATCAAACCAGCGATAGAAACTAACAGTTTTAGTCAACTATAGTCATTATTGATAACATCTAGCGAAACCTTTAAAAATGGCAACTTTCTACTAGTCCTTATGATACCTAAACTATTGTGCAGTTTGGCAAGGACTACAGGACAAGTGCCATTTTCTAACGCTGCAAGCCCTGTATCAGCCAGCGGGGCACGGGTGGCCCAGTCGTCTGAGGCGCCGCAATTCGCTGCGCAGAGTTGCGTCCCTTGGGCAGGCCAGAAACAAGCTCATAGTAGTATATAGAGAGCTCCGCTAACAGGCTATCACTGTGAGGAGCTTGCGCCAGAAAACTATGATTGTGGGTTCGAATCCCGGTTCGCCCCGATTATGTTTCTAGGTTTACCATACCCGTGCTCGTGGGTTTCACCGAAGTGGTAGCGTCCGAGACCTGCATCACTTCGGGCTTTCCTCCCATTAACGCCGTGATATAACTGGAATTATGTTAAAAGCGGCGTTAAACCCAATTCACCCACTGTATCAGCCAGCCTGGTTCCCTGGGTCTGCTGCGCTGAGTGTAGCGCCACGCAGCATACCCAGGAAACCAGTTTGTATATCAGCAAACTACTACAGTAGACATAATTCGGTGATAATTCGAACTTATTAAGATTTATGCCGAAGGTATTAATTATATATATTGTGGTAATGACATTGGAAGGTTGAATTCTTAGGTTCACCTTTTTTCACCTTTGTTATTGTGCAACTTCGCTGCTAATCGAGTTTTTCTTGTAAACATTAATTAACATCAGTTGCAATAATTATGCCAAAACAAATACAAATAATAAGTTATCCAATGTGTAATGCAAGCATGATCAATATTGCTAGTGTTGGTAGAATGACGTATGAATGTCGTTTAGCTATAATATATTATAATCATAGTCCTACAGTCCAGTCTGCCGATTTACTGAATTCGGTGCTACAATGATGTCTCCCCAACACATGGAATTCTCCCTTGAGGGCACTTCCTGTACAGTCTCGGGTCGTTTCCGGAGGGTGGCAGTCATCCTGTTTGTTGACATCGCATTGTTTACCGTGTTCACGATATGACAGTTGTCACCAGACACCTGTAAGAGATGGCCAACAAGAAAAAAGCGTAAGTTGAAATTCTCTGTGGTAATCTTTTCCTTCCAAACGTCGACCGTTAGATAGATTAAATTTGGGTAGATTTGCTTCAATCTGCGTTCTATATTGAGGCCGATGATTCAGACACACATGGCTTTTACACAAGGTGCGTGTGGAACATCATGCCAGTGACCAAACAAACCTTGAGTCACTGAGCTAGTAGTGCTCAGCTGTAAGAGGGTCAAACAACATGTCACTGGCTAGACTACCCGTTAAGATCTGGACAAGAACTGGTCTTCTCCAAACGATGCTTGGCGTAAGAAGCGACTCATGATGATAGGGTGGTCAGACTCGCCGACTTGGTTGATGCATGTCATCGTATCTCAATTGCGTGGATCGATGCTTACAAGATCCATCACTGGATTATTCTTGTCCAGACTCGATTATTTACAGACCGTCATGTAGCTAGAATATTGCTGAGTGTCGCGTTAAACAACAGACAAACAAACAGTGTCAAGACTAGTATCCTATGAAGTGGTTGAGCTTGTAGTGCTAGTTGTGATCAGCTATTAACAGCTGGTTAGAGAGTCCACATTAAGGCTGGAAAAAGTCCAAATTTACTACCTGATTACCTGCCCCTTCTTGGGTACCCTACCCACCTAGTTCGTCAACCATCATTTTGGTACCCATTATTTTCCTTTAAACACACCGTGACATCACACGATATATGTTATTATTGCATAACATTCAGTCACCTAACTTAAAATACCTGGTTTGAAATATTTCATGTCCGGTTAAAATTATTTTCTTCATGAAAATTTGTTATATGAACAGACGATTTAACTTCTCTTATCCACCCCACCCCCACCCACCCCTTATAATTTTAAGATTATATAAATACAACAAAACACAGGGGTATTCTGTAAACTGTTGAGGCACTCAACATTAAATGCTGGAATGTGGGAAGGTTTGCAGTCACATGATCATCACATCCTACCGGGTACCGATATGAAAGAGTTCACCCCTTAAGCAGCCATGAAAGAATGTCAAAAATGTTGTTTACTTTGTTTAATTAAAAGTTTCGGGCAACTAAGAATTCAACCAGTGCAAGTGTTTATTTTTTTGTTCATTGTCTTTGGGCAAGTGGATTTTGAAAAGCCCTGAGTCTGATGTGACTGTTTGGTCACGTCCACTGGCTTGTGGACTTTGTGAAGACTGCCTTATCAAGGAGTGACCTTCACCTTTAATCCAATTTTTCCCTTCTGACCTTTCAGTGACCTGAAGGTCATCATCATGGGCGACTTTGCTGTGGGGAAAACTTCACTCATCTGTCGATACATTGAGGGAAAATTCAAAACCCAGGAACCGGTATATATATCATGAAATGTTTTCTTACTGATGAGTGAGTGAGTGAGTATGGTTTTATGCCATTTTAAGCTATCTTCCAGCAAGATCACGGCAGGGCCAGTGCCGTACCCAGCATGTTTTTTTTTTATAGAAAACAGTTTTATTTGAATCATGAAAATACAAGTTGGGGACAAGTGATACTTGTACAAATATTTGTCCCCCCCTGTCAAAAAAGGTTAACTACGGCCTTGGGACACCAGACATGGCCTTCACAGATATTGTAGAAGTCTTGTGTGATGTGTTGTGTGCAGTGTGGAATGTGTAGTTACTTGTAGTGTGTACAATGTGTTGCGTGTTATGTGTTGTGAGTTATTCAATCTCATTAAAATCAGATCTTAATTCTCGCTACCTCTAAACAAAGATCTGAGGACATCCCATTATGGGTCACGTCAGAACGACCTTTCATCCAACCAATCAGAGCGTCGCTTACCAGATCATGAAAGTGACAGTTTGAATGTGTTTTCTAATCATGCAACCTCGAAAACTTTAACAAAGGGCATTCTGAACGATAGTTACAGGCTTAACGACTGAATCCATACAATCTAGACCATCTATTAGCAGTTCCAAAATGTTCTTTTGTTCAGTTTTCAAATTTTAATTGAGAATTTGTCAAATATGTTTCGAAGCGTAGTCGCCAATTTGAAATTAGTGCCGTAAAGCACGAGAAAGCTGGATCGATGTTTACAGTGTCAATCACTGGATTATTCTTGTCCAGACTCGATTATTTACAGACCGTCATGTAGCTAGAAATTAGTGCCGTAAAGTGAGAAAGCTGCCTTCTGATTGTCGGCTTCTTGTCAGTCGTTCCATTTGTCCGTCAAAGTTTGCGCAAACTTGGTCTGACATGACAAGTTATGGGATTCCTCAGATCTTTGTTTAGCAGTAGTGAGAACTAAGATCTGATTTTAATGAGATTGTGTGTTATTATATGTGTGTACAACAGTATTGTTTGAGAGATTCCTACATACAATGATTAATAAAGCAGTGGCACTTCCGGCAGGCATGTCAAGTTGATGTCAGGTTGTGGTGATACTTATCATTGAGATGCTGTTAACAGTTTTGTGTTCTTGACCTGCACAAATTGGTTTCTTTCAGAATGACAAGTTTCAGACCTTCTGATCCCCAATACCCCCATCTCACATAGCTAATAATGTTTAAAGAATTCTTTGCCCAGATCCAACTTAGCCCCCTAAATAGCCTGATTTTAAACATGTTGTTGACAGACAATCGGAGCTGCCTTCTTCCTGAAACAGTGGGGCCCCTACAATGTTGCTGTGTGGGTACGTACATGGACACACCAACAATGCTCATGATGTCAATCACTAGATTGTCTGGTCCAGGCTCAGTTATTGACATGTTGTCATCACATACTGTAAATCTTGAAATTAACGCGAGTGTGAATTAAATGCGAAAAATGTGAATGGTCTTTGCTCGCATTAATTAACTTCACATTTATGTCTCCAAATGACTATCAACAATAAGACGGCCTCACTGCACACATTGGATTGCGGGAATACCAATTTTATTATTAACACAAAGCAGTAGTTGTAACAAGTATATAACAATGTCATTCAAAGAATAGCAATTACACAATGGGCATGGGGTGAGTTATCACTGCTGGGGTCAATAGTTCTACCCATTCGTGTCAAGCTCGTTGACACCTTCTCAGCATACCAATCAGTGAACTGTTGTTGGTTCATATATTTTATTGCCTTTGAACTTCCTCAATGCCAGTCAGCAGAGTAAACATATAAACTGTGTGTTGTGTTTAGGAAAACACTGTTTATTGTTTTTACGTAAGTGCTTTACTCAGTGCTAATAAGCGCTGCTATTTGCTGTTTGATTGGATTAAGGTAAGGATATGTATCCTTCCACTGGGGATGGGGTGGGTGGAGTCACATTGATATTGAGTCACATTTTTGGCTAGGGGTCAGCAGTCGTATAAATTTGGAGACGCATTAATTTCCAGATTTACAGTAGCTGGAATATTGCTGAGTTCTGCATTCAACAAACCACAAACAAACAGACACGTATACAACGAGGATTAATGAAGCTAAGCCAATCCATGTTATAAATGTAACTGCATGCAAGCTTTAGAGTCCATGATAAAATCTCTATCACTTATCTCTATTTTACTTCAAATTAAAGTCTCTTCTCTGGTATTAAGTGTTTACTGCAAACACGTTATCAATTGTCTATCACAATACTGGACTATAATCACTGATCATTATTTAAACTTGAACTTTAAAACACTTTAAAGTCAATCTGAGTATCTGGCTGGTGGCTTTATCACACGACTGCTGACACGACCATGACGTTGACTCTGACGATGACGGTGTAGTTGATGACAGTGGTGACTTCACTGGCCGTTGGAACAGTGTTGTGTTGTTGGATGTTATAGGGGGATTCCATGGGAGTATGGCTTCTTTCATTGTTGTCAAAACACAATTTCAGGGGGTTAGTTTTATTTGTTTTCAGGAGATCTCTCAGCCACTCTCGACATGGCTGTGATTGAATCTTGGTTTCAGGAGACTCCTGACATGGCTGTGATCGAATCCTGGTTTCAGGAGACTCCCGACATGGCTGTGATCGAATCCTGGTTTCAGGAGACTCCAGACATGGCTGTGATCGAATCCTGGTTACAGGAGACTCTCGACATGGCTGTGATTGAATCCTGGTTTCAGGAGACTCCCGACATGGCTGTGATCGAATCCTGGTTTCAGGAGACTCCAGACATGGCTGTGATCGAATCCTGGTTACAGGAGACTCTCGACATGGCTGTGATCGAATCCTGGTTACAGGAGACTCCTGATATGGCTGTGATTGAATCCTGGTTTCAGGAGACTCCCGACATGGCTGTGATCGAATCTTGGTTACAGGAGACTCTCGACATGGCTGTGATCGAATCCTGGTTTCAGGAGACTCTCGACATGGCTGTGATTGAATCCTGGTTTCAGGAGACTCCTGACATGGCTGTGATCGAATCCTGGTTACAGGAGACTCCTGATATGGCTGTGATTGAATCCTGGTTACAGGAGACTCCCGACATGGCTGTGATTGAATCTTGGTTACAGGAGACTCCCGACATGGCTGTGATCGAATCCTGGTTTCAGGAGACTCCAGACATGGCTGTGATCGAATCCTGGTTACAGGAGACTCTCGACATGGCTGTGATCGAATCCTGGTTACAGGAGACTCCCGACATGGCTGTGATCGAATCCTGGTTACAGGAGACTCCTGACATGGCTGTGATCGAATCCTGGTTACAGGAGACTCCCGACATGGCTGTGATCGAATCCTGGTTACAGGAGACTCCTGATATGGCTGTGATTGAATCCTGGTTACAGGAGACTCTCGACATGGCTGTGATTGAATCCTGGTTTCAGGAGACTCGCGACATGGCTGTGATTGAATCCTGGTTACAGGAGACTCTCGACATGGCTGTGATTGAATCCTGGTTACAGGAGACTCCAGACATGGCTGTGATTGAATCCTGGTTTCAGGAGACTCCTGACATGGCTGTGATTGAATCCTGGTTTCAGGAGACTCCTGACATGGCTGTGATTGAATCTTGGTTACAGGAGACTCCTGATATGGCTGTGATTGAATCCTGGTTACAGGAGACTCCTGACATGGCTGTGATCGAATCCTGGTTACAGGAGACTCCTGACATGGCTGTGATTGAATCCTGGTTTCAGGAGACTCCTGATATGGCTGTGATTGAATCCTGGTTTCAGGAGACTCCTGACATGGCTGTGATTGAATCTTGGTTACAGGAGACTCCAGATATGGCTGTGATTGAATCCTGGTTTCAGGAGACTCCTGATATGGCTGTGATTGAATCCTGGTTACAGGAGACTCCTGACATGGCTGTGATTGAATCCTGGTTACAGGAGACTCCTGACATGGCTGTGATTGAATCCTGGTTACAGGAGACTCTCGACATGGCTGTGATTGAATCCTGGTTTCAGGAGACTCTGGACATGGCTGTGATTGAATCCTGGTTTCAGGAGACTCCAGACATGGCTGTGATTGAATCTTGGTTTCAGGAGACTCCGGACATGGCTGTGATTGAATCCTGGTTTCAGGAGACTCGCGACATAGCTGTGATTGAATCTTGGTTTCAGGAGACTCTCAACATGGCTGTGATTGAATCCTGGTTTCAGGAGACTTGCGACATGGCTGTGATTGAATCTTGGTTTCAGGAGACTCTCGACATGGCTGTGATTGAATCTTGGTTTCAGGAGGCTTGGTTTATTTGGAATAACTGTTATAGTTTGATGAACCATCAATAGGGGTATTTCAGAGATCCAACAATGCAAGATGTGGATCCTGACCGTCGTCCTTTGCTTTCTTGAACAATCTTTTCACAGTTTGTACGGTTTGCTCTGCCAACCTGTTTCTTTGAGGGCAGTGAGGAGACGACGTCTTGTGTTCAAATCCATATTCTCTTGCGAAATCATGAAACTCATAATTTGCATACTGTGGTCCATTGTCTGTCATTACAGATTCTGGAATCCCATGCCTTGCAAAATGTTTTTTCAGGACGTTGATTGTAGTTACAGCCTTCATGTCATGTAGTTTGGAGACCTCAAAATACTTTGAGTAATAATCAACCACAATGATGTACTGTTCTCTTCCCAGTTCAAATATATCTGATCCAACATCTTGCCACGGTCTGTCAGGTTTGTCATGCTGAATCAACGGCTCTCGTTGTTGATGATTCCTTTAGCAACAACACCCACCACGCCAGCTTGATACTAAATCTCTAATCTATGCACATGTGCTTGGCCAGCAGAGTACATCAGGTGCACGCCGCAAACAGGAATTTTTCTCAACATTACTCAGTGCATACTTGTAGGTACGATGATGCATTCACCTTTCAACATGAGTCCATCTTGGAATGAAATCAATTCCCGAGTATTCCAGTATGGCTTAATGTCCCAATCCACCTTGTTAGCATCAGGCCATCCATGAAGAACATACTCCTTTAGTTTTTGTAGAGAACTGTCATTTTCTGTTTCCAATCTCATTTCGGACCATAGCTACCATCTCCTTCTCAATTTGCGAGTACTCCCGTTCCGCAGGTTTGAGTGATCTGGAAGCATATGATACAGGCTGTTCATCTCGAGTGATACATGCTCCAACTCCATGTGATGATGCATCCACTGAATGCTTGATTGGAGAGCTGACATTGTAGTATTTCAATGTTGGTGAATTTGAGATCACTGTTGTCAGGTTGTCGAAACACTTCTGCTGTCTTTCTGTCCACTCCCAGGCAACATTCTTCTCCAAGAGCTGTCAAAGAGGCTTGTTAATTGATGAGAGGTTTGGTATGAATTTTCCCAAATAATTGACCATTCCCATGAATCTTTGTAGATCTTGTTTATTCTCTGGAGCTGGCATCTCTGTGATTGCTCGAAGTTTATCTTCACATGGTTTCAGGCCTTCCACACCAAATGTATGTCCAACGTATGTTACTTCCTTCTGCCTGAACTTGCATTTCTCTTTGTTTAGCTTCAAGTTCATATCAGAACACTTTGTCAGCACTTTTTCCACTACTTTGTCATGTTCTTCCACTGTCTTTCCCCAGATCAAAAGGACATCAGCTATGCCGTCACATCCATCAATATTCTCAAACATATGTGGCAATGTTCTATGAAAAATCTCTCGAGCACTGCTAATCCCAAAGGGTAATCTTTCAAATTTATACCTGCCGAAAGGTGTATTAAAGGTGGTGAGCCAGGTACTTTCTTCATCCAGTTCTATCTGGTAAAATCCAGATGCTGTGTCCAGCTTCGTGAATACCATTGCTACCCTTCAGGTTAGCTGCAACTTCCTCTACAGTCTTCATCGGGAAATGTTCACGAAGTATAGCTTGATTCAAGCTGTGAAGATCAAGGCAGATCCTTACTTTTTTCTTGTTTGGTTTTTCTACAACGACAATTGGGCTGACCCACTTTGTTGGTTTTGTTACCCTTGTTATTATGCCAGCTTTCTCCATTCTGTTCAATTCAGCCTTCACCTGATCCTGGAGGGCATATGGTATCTTCCGTGGTGGCTGAACTACTGGTGTTACAGACTCGTCCTCGTTGACGTGATGTTTCATGCCCTTGATCTTCCCAAGCCCCTTGAATGTAGACTCGTCCTCGTTGACGTGATGTTTGATGCCCTTGATCTTCCCAAGCCCCTTGAATGTAGACTCGTCCTCGCTGACGTGATGTTTGATGCCCTTGATCTTCCCAAGCCCCTTGAATGTAGACTCGTCCTCGTTGACGTGATGTTTGATGCCCTTGATCTTCCCAAGCCCCTTGAATGTAGACTCGTCCTCGTTGACGTGATGTTTGATGCCCTTGATCTTCCCAAGCCCCTTGAATGTAGACTCGAACTCGCTGACAGGATGTTTGATGCCCTTGATCTTCCCAAGCCCCTTGAATGTAGACTCGAACTCGCTGACGTGATGTTTGATGCCCTTGATCTTCCCAAGCCCCTTGAATGTAGACTCGAACTCGCTGACGTGATGTTTGATGCCCTTGATCTTCCCAAGCCCCTTGAATGTAGACTCGTCCTCGTTGACGTGATGTTTGATGCCCTTGATCTTCCCAAGCCCCTTGAATGTAGACTCGAACTCGCTGAGTATCTGTGATGTATCAGCTTTCTCTTTTTTTTCAACTGTGAACATCCGCTTGTTAAAGTTCGTTTCCATGAATGAAGAAAGTCCTAGTAGTGGCTGTTAGTCTCTGTCGACGACGACAAACTCCACAGGAAACATCTTCTTCTTGTATTCGACAACAATATGTGCTTTACCCATCGGTTCCAGTTTGTGTCCGGAATATGACACTAGCTTTGCCATTGATCTGGTAAGCATTCTTCCTCCAGGCGATTTGTAAAATTCCTTTGACATGACGTTACATTCAGCTCCAGTATCCAGTTTCAGTGAAGCTTGGTTTCCACAAACTTCAACATCAATTTTCCAGTCTTTTTCTCTGTCTTTTCCGTTTGTCAGTGCATCTATGAAGAAAGTTTCTTCTTTGCTTCCATCAGAATCTTCAGATTCATAATCTGTCATGTCATTTTCCAGCATGTGAACTTTTTCTTCCTTGTATCCTGTTGATTGAAACAACAAACACGTGCCAAGTGATTCTTCTTGCCACAATTTCCAAATGTTTCACCATATGCAATACAATTTCCTTTTCTGTGTTTTCTTCCACAAAAATAACAGTCTTTTACATTTGTGTTTCTTTCCCTCTCTTCATACATGTCCTTGAATTTGTGTTTTCTTTATTTTGATGGGGATTTTGGTGCTGCTTTTTTCCTTGGATTCTTTTCGATATTTCATGAATTTGTTTTTCTGTTTCTCCTGCTAACTCCTTCAACTGTGATGCACTTGCTTCTGCGGCCCTACAGACGTCTATCGCCTCATCTAATGTTAAGTCCAAGTCACGCAACAGTCTTACCCTAACTTGATCACTGACAATTCCACAAACAATGCGATCTGTCTTTGCTTTATTTCTGAGATCAGTAACATAATTGTCTATAGATTCATTGGGACCATGATTTCTGGTGTTGAACAAATGTCTCTCATAGGCAACATTTCTTCTTGGGTTACAGTAAGCTTCAAATTTCTCATAAATTGGCTCTAATTTTGTGTTGTGAAAGTGTTGTAAATATTCAAAGCATCAGTTCCAAGCACATGAAGCAAAGTATTTGCCTGCACTCATCCTTCTCAGCAGTACCACTTGCAATCAGATAAATCCTAAATTGCTGCTTAAATCTTCTCCAGTTTTCTGCCAAATTGCCCTTCAAACTCAGTCCAGAAGGTGGGCTTAATTGTTCCATTTCCAGTTTACTTCTGACACCATGTAAGACATCAATGACCAAGACAGGTGTAGGACATCAATGACCAAGACAGGTGTAGGACATCAATGACCAAGACAGGTGTAGGACATCAATGACCAAGACAGGTGTAGGACATCAATGACACTTTAATATGTCAGACTCAACATGTGATTGAGTCCAAGGGAGATTCCCTGGTTTTAGATTCGAATCAACTTGACATGCACAACATGCACAACATGCACAACATGCACAACATACAACCCAGTTAAGTCAACCTGCATAAGCATTCTATGACAAACACTAGCCATTTTATTACAACCCATTCTAAACAGCGTTTGTTATTCTTTTTAAATACTCTTGAGTCAATGGTCAGTGTGTACAAGATCAAAAGCCAGAAGCATAAGACATATAACAAGGGTTTCAAATGGCCGTTGGTCACCGGTCATAGACCGATAAAATTTCTATTTGACCGATGGTTTGTTTAAGTTGTCAGACTTTTGACCGATAGAAATGCTAAGCATGGGGTCACATGTGTCATAATTTCATGATTAGAAAGTAAATAGTAAGGATTATTCCCACTTACGGTATGGATTTTAATGACTAATGAAATGCTCTCATAAAGTTTCGTGTCAAACGAGATATTGTACAGTACACATATTCTCCTGTTTTCGAGCAGAGCTTTCAGCATCATATATGCCTTTACTATTATTCATGACAATACAAATATCATCGGATCACAGGTTTTCGGACATCTGATGATCACACATTTTCTATCACAACACTTGCACTGTGCGCAGAAGCTATGCCCGATTTTTTAAAAGTACTGATTTAACTTTAGACTTATTGACTTTAGCCATTGACTTATTACATTTCTTAGGTCCAAGTCATTGACCTGTTTGCAGCCTTTGGTGTCAAAATCACTGATATGTATTATCTGGAGTAAGTTATAGTAAGTGAGTTGGGTTTAATGCTGCTTTGGACAGTATTCCAGTTATATCACGGGATGTCGCCTTAATTTTTGGAAGAAAGCCCGAAGTGATGCAGCTCTCAGACGTTTACCACTTTGGTGAAAGCCGTGAGCCGGCATATGGTACTGAGTCTACTGACAGACTAGAACATTATCAGGACGAGGCGTGTTCGAACACAATATCCTAGGTTACTGGTGTGCCCCAGGCAGCACCTAATTAATGGTTGGATTGAAGAACAAGGACACATTGTCTCAAATTACCAAGAATCAACACTTTCCACAATTGGAATCCCTGCTTAGATGGTCAATCTGTGAAGCAGGTTGTAAACATTTCAATCTTATACTGACTTAATATTTGAAAAGAAAGTGTTTTACTCGGATATGACAAAAGAATAATCCTGTAAAAATCCATGATAATGTTTGCTGGAAAATGTTATGTTTAAGAAAAGAATTATGATAAGAAAAGAATTATGATATTTCAACAAGTCCTTGTCAGATTGTCATTTATGTAAAAAATGCGCAACTGTAATATAATAATTCAACAATAAAAAGTTATAACACCATTTACTGGCATTCTGACCTCATCACTGGCTTGTAACTTGCATGGGTGTTGTTTTTCTATATGTGGCTTACACTTTCTTAACTTGTTTGTAAGATCAACAGTTGTAAGTTTGTAATGACTGTTGCCATGGTATCATTAATGGCTTTGTTTGTTGTTCCAGGACACGGCAGGCGATGAGCGCTACACCGGCCTCTCCAACTTCTACTGCCGCAACGCTGGCGTCGCCATCCTGGCCTACGATATATCCAGTGACAAGTCATTTGAATCTCTCTGGTAATACATGACAAGTAACTTGAACCTCTGTCACATAACAAGTTACTTGAACCTCTGTCACATGACAGGTTACTTGAACCTCTGTCACATGACAGGTTACCTGAACCTCTGTCACATGACAAGTTACTTGAAACTCTGTCACATGACAAGTTACTTGAACCTCTGTCACATGACAACTTTCTTGAACCTCTGTCACATGACAAGTTACTTGAACCTCTGTCACATGACAACTTACTTTAACCTCTGTCACATAACAACTTACTTGAACCTCTGGTGTCACATGACAACTTACTTTAACCTCTGTCACATAACAACTTACTTGAACCTCTGGTGTCACATGACAACTTACTTGAATCTTTGGTGTCACATGACCTTTTTTAATTCTTCAGGGCAAGATTTAACCCCTTACTCTCTGCTGCACATGAAGACTGCCTCAGGGTTGTCGTGGGAACCAAGCTAGACCAGGTCACACCCACATCTCGTGCGGTTACCATTGAAGAAGGAGTGAAGTTAGCCAAGGAGCTTAACGAACACCTGGATATATCCAAACTGCTGAAAGCCCCCTACTTTGAAACTTCCAGCTTGAACGGACATAATGTGAAGGAGCTGTTTGAGTGTATATTTCAGTACCGACTACCGATTAGTGATGGAGACAGAACCCGACAGGTCAAGGACACAGTGGATCTGTATGAGACTGGCAGCTCCGGCTCAAAGAAGGGCGGTTGCTGTTAACGGTGTGTGGAACAACAGCCATAGTGTGTACTTGTGTGACGTCACTCAGCCATAATGTGTACTTGTGTGATGTCACTCAGCCGTAGAGTGTACTTGTGTGACGTCACTCAGCCATAATGTGTACTTGTGTGATGTCACTCAGCCGTAGTGTGTACTTGTGTGATGTCACTCAGCCGTAGAGTGTACTTGTGTGACGTCACTCAGCCATAATGTGTACTTGTGTGATGTCACTCAGCCATAGTGTGTACTTGTGTGATGTCACTCAGCCATAGTGTGTACTTGTGTGACGTCCCTCAGCCATAGTGTACTTGTGTGACGTCACTCAGCCATAATGTGTACTTGTGTGATGTCACTCAGCCATAGTGTGTACTTGTGTGACTTCACTCAGCCATAGTGTGTACTTGTGTGATGTCACTCAGCCATAGTGTGTACTTGTGTGATGTCACTCAGCCGTAGTGTGTACTTGTGTGATGTCACTCAGCTGTAGTGTTTACTTGTGTGATGTCACTCAGCCATAGTGTGTACTTGTGTGATGTCACTCAGCTGTAGTGTGTACTTGTGTGATGTCACTCAGCCATAGTGTGTACTTGTGTGACGTCATTCTATAGTGTGTGCTTCTGTGTGATGTCACTCAGCTGTAGTGTGTACTTGTGTGAGGTCACTCAGCCGTAGTGTGTACTTGTGTGATGTCACTCAGCTGTAGTGTGTACTTGTGTGATGTCACTCAGCCATAGTGTGCACTTGTGTGATGTCACTCAGCTGTAGTGTGTACTTGTGTGATGTCACTCAGCCGTAGTGTGTACTTGTGTGATGTCACTCAGCTGTAGTGTGTACTTGTGTGATGTCACTCAGCTGTAGTGTGTACTTGTGTGATGTCACTCAGCCATAGTGTGCACTTGTGTGATGTCACTCAGCCATAGTTTGTACTTGTGTGACGTCACTCAGCCGTAGAGTGTACTTGTGTGATGTCACCCAGCCATAGTTTGTACTTGTATGATGTCACTCAGCCATAGTGTCTACTTGTGTGACATCACCCAGCCATAGCGTGTACTTGTGTGATGTCACTCAGCCGTAGTGTGTACTTGTGTGATGTCACTCAGCCATAGTGTGTACTAGTGTGACATCACCCAGCCATAGCGTGTACTTGTGTGATGTCACTCAGCCGTAGTGTGTACTTGTGTGATGTCACTCAGCCGTAGTGTGTACTTGTGTGATGTCACTCAGCCATAGTGTGTACTTGTGTGACGTCACTCAGCCATAGTGTGTACTTGTGTGATGTCACTCAGCCGTAGAGTGTACTTGTGTGACGTCACTCAGCCATAATGTGTACTTGTGTGATGTCACTCAGCCGTAGAGTGTACTTGTGTGACGTCACTCAGCCATAATGTGTACTTGTGTGATGTCACTCAGCCATAATGTGTACTTGTGTGATGTCACTCAGCCGTAGAGTGTACTTGTGTGACGTCACTCAGCCATAATGTGTACTTGTGTGATGTCACTCAGCCATAGTGTGTACTTGTGTGATGTCTCTCAGCCGTAGTGTGTACTTGTGTGACGTCACTCAGCCATAATGTGTACTTGTGTGATGTCACTCAGCCATAGTGTGTACTTGTGTGACTTCACTCAGCCATAGTGTGTACTTGTGTGATGTCACTCAGCCATAGTGTGTACTTGTGTGATGTCACTCAGCCGTAGTGTGTACTTGTGTGATGTCACTCAGCTGTAGTGTGTACTTGTGTGATGTCACTCAGCCATAGTGTGTACTTGTGTGATGTCACTCAGCTGTAGTGTGTACTTGTGTGATGTCACTCAGCCATAGTGTGTACTTGTGTGACGTCATTCTATAGTGTGTGCTTCTGCGTGAGGTCACTCAGCCGTAGTGTGTACTTGTGTCATGTCACTCAGCTGTAGTGTGTACTTGTGTGACGTCACTCAGCCATAGTGTGTACTTGTGTGATGTCACTCAGCTGTAGTGTGTACTTGTGTGATGTCACTCAGCCATAGTGTGCACTTGTGTGATGTCACTCAGCTGTAGTGTGTACTTGTGTGATGTCACTCAGCCGTAGTGTGTACTTGTGTGATGTCACTCAGCTGTAGTGTGTACTTGTGTGATGTCACTCAGCTGTAGTGTGTACTTGTGTGATGTCACTCAGCCATAGTGTGCACTTGTGTGATGTCACTCAGCCATAGTGTGTACTTGTGTGATGTCACTCAGCCATAGTGTGTGTATTGTGTGGCGTCACTCAGCCATAGTGTGTACTGATGTGACATCACCCAGCCATAGTGTGTACTTGTGTGACGTCACTCAGCCGTAGAGTGTACTTGTGTGACGTCACTCAGCCATAGCGTGTACTTGTTGGACGTCTCTCAGCCGTAGTGTGTACTTGTGTGATGTCATTCAGCCATAGTGTGTACTTGTGTGACATCACTCAGCCATAGTGTGTACTTGTGTGACATCACCCAGCCATAGTGTGTACTTGTGTGACGTCACTCAGCCGTAGAGTGTACTTGTGTGACGTCACTCAGCCATAGCGTGTACTTGTGGGACGTCTCTCAGCCGTAGTGTGTACTTGTGTGATGTCATTCAGCCATAGTGTGTACTTGTGTGATGTCACTCAGCTGTAGTGTGTACTTGTGTGATGTCACTCAGCCGTAGTGTGTACTTGTGTGATGTCATTCAGCCATAGTGTGTACTTGTGTGACATCACTCAGCCATAGTGTGTACTTGTGTGACATCACCCAGCCATAGTGTGTACTTGTGTGACGTCACTAAGCCGTAGAGTGTACTTGTGTGACGTCACTCAGCCATAGCGTGTACTTGTGGGACGTCTCTCAGCCGTAGTGTGTACTTGTGTGATGTCATTCAGCCATAGTGTGTACTTGTGTGATGTCACTCAGCCATAGTGTGTACTTGTGTGATGTCATTCAGCCATAGTGTGTACTTGTGTGATGTCACTCAGCCGTAGTGTGTACTTGTGTGATGTCACTCAGCTGTAGTGTGTACTTGTGTGATGTCACTCAGCTGTAGTGTGTACTTGTGTGATGTCACTCAGCCATAGTGTGCACTTGTGTGATGTCACTCAGCCATAGTGTGTACTTGTGTGACGTCACTCAGCCGTAGAGTGTACTTGTGTGATGTCACCCAGCCATAGTTTGTACTTGTGTGATGTCACTCAGCCATAGTGTGTACTTGTGTGACATCACCCAGCCATAGCGTGTACTTGTGTGATGTCACTCAGCCGTAGTGTGTACTTGTGTGATGTCACTCAGCCATAGTGTGTACTAGTGTGACATCACCCAGCCATAGTGTGTACTTGTGTGACGTCGCTCAGCCGTAGTGTGTACTTGGGTGACGTCATTCAGCCATAGTGTGTGTATTGTGTGGCGTCACTCAGCCATAGTGTGTACTTATGTGACATCACCCAGCCATAGTGTGTACTTGTGTGACGTCACTCAGCCGTAGAGTGTACTTGTGTGACGTCACTCAGCCATAGCGTGTACTTGTGGGACGTCTCTCAGCCGTAGTGTGTACTTGTGTGATGTCATTCAGCCATAGTGTGTACTTGTGTGACATCACTCAGCCATAGTGTGTACTTGTGTGATGTCACCCAGCCATAGTGTGTACTTGTGTGACGTCACTCAGCCATAGCGTGTACTTGTGGGACGTCTCTCAGCCGTAGTGTGTACTTGTGTGATGTCATTCAGCCATAGTGTGTACTTGTGTGACATCACTCAGCCGTAGTGTGTACTTGTGTGATGTCACCCAGCCATAGTGTGTATTTGTGTGACATCACTCAGCCATAGTGTGTACTTGTGTGATGTCATTCAGCCATAGTGTGTACTTGTGTTACATCACTCAGCCGTAGTGTGTACTTGTGTGATGTCACTCAGCCATAGTGTGTACTTGTATGACATCACTCAGCCATAGTGTGTACTTGTGTGATGTCACTCAGCCATAGTGTGTACTTGTGTGATGTCACTCAGCCATAGTGTGTACTTGTGTGACATCACTCAGCCAGTGTGTACTTGTATGACATCACTTAGCCATAGTGTATACTTGTGTGATGTCACTCAGCCATAGTGTGTACTTGTGTGATGTCACTCAGCTGTAGTGTGTACTTGTGTGATGTCACTCAGCCATAGTGTGTACTTGTATGACATCACTCAGCCATAGTGTGTACTTGTGTGACATCACTCAGCCATAGTGTGTACTTGTGTGATGTCACTCAGCCATAGCGTGTACTTGTGTGACATCACTCAGCCATAGTGTGTACTTGTGTGATGTCACTCAGCCGTAGAGTGTACTTGTGTGACGTCACTCAGCCATAGTGTGTACTTGTGTGATGTCACTCAGCCATAGCGTGTACTTGTATGACATCACTCAGCCATAGTGTGTACTTGTGTGATGTCACTCAGCTGTAGTGTGTACTTGTATGACATCACTCAGCCATAGTGTGTACTTGTGTGATGTCACTCAGCCATAGCGTGTACTTGTGTGACATCACTCAGCCATAGTGTGTACTTGTGTGATGTCACTCAGCTGTAGTGTGTACTTGTGTGATGTCACTCAGCCATAGTGTGTACTTGTATGACATCACTCAGCCATAGTGTGTACTTGTGTGATGTCACTCAGCTGTAGTGTGTACTTGTGTGACATTACTCAGCCATAGTGTGTACTTGTGTGATGTCAATCAGCTGTAGTGTGTACTTGTGTGACATCACTCAGCATTAGTGTGTACTTGTATGACATCACTCAGCCATAGTGTGTACTTGTGTGACGTCACTCAGCCATAGTTTGTACTTGTGTGACATTACTCAGCCATAGTGTGTACTTGTGTGATGTCACTCAGCTGTAGTGTGTACTTGTGTGACGTCCCTCAGCCATAGTGTGTACTTGTGTGACATCACTCAGCCATAGTGTGTACTTGTATGACATCACTCAGCCATAGTGTGTACTTGTATGACATCACTCAGCCATAGTGTGTACTTGTGTGACGTCACTCAGCCATAGTGTGTACTTGTGTGACGTCCCTCAGCCATAGTGTGTACTTGTGTGACATCACTCAGCCATAGTGTGTACTTGTATGACATCACTCAGCCATAGTGTGTACTTGTATGACATCACTCAGCCATAGTGTGAACTCGTGTCAGCCGTAGTGTGTACTTGTGTGACATCACTCAGCCATAGTGTGTACTTGTGCAGTATCCCTCCATTGTGTGTACTTGTGTGATGTCATTCTATAGTGTGTGCTTCTGTGTGACGTCACTCAGCCATAGTGTGTACTTGTGACATCACTCAGACTTCTTGACTTCAGCACTAATACCCCTACAGTCACACAGTCAGAAGCATTTGCTGGGCCTGGTGAACATCAACTAGGAATTATTTTGTTTTGTTTTCTTAAAGTGGCAAAGTGACTCTTTTGTTCTGTATTGTGAAAAGTGAAATATAGAGTGTGAGAATATCATAAGTAGCCATTTTCTGTTAACAAGAACAAGTATCAAATTGTACTTTCTAATGCTACTTTCCCCCAATAATGGGACCAGCTGATTACTGGCCCATGTCGTCTGACAGACGAGATGGTGCCATGTGACAGCCAATATGATTGTTTAAAGTGATTGTTCAAGTGATTGTTCAAGTGATTGTTCAAGTGATTGTAATTCTACATGTGACAGTTCATGATGTTTTATGTTCAGTAATGGTACATAATCAACCTTAGATCCCAGAATCACTGTGAAGAATCATAATAATGATAATGATAATAGTAATAATTTACGAAGCCTCGGCTTCCAACTTCACAGCTGCTCTGTAGTGTTGTTAGAAAAATAGTTTGAGGCCAAATTGCCTTAATCCCCTCAAACTCATGTAGGCTTCTTGAAACAAATGAGTCTAGCAGTTTTCAAAAGTGCTGAGTTGTCTCAGCTGTAAATTGTAGAGAGTGGGAGAGTTCCATAGGGTAGGGTTAGGGTTAGGGTCAGGGTTAACCTAACCCTGAGAGTTCCATAGGGTAGAGGCAGCAACAGAGAAGGATCTACCTCCTTGTTTTGTTCTGGTCTCTGGAACCTTGAGATTCCATCTCATTAAAATCATATCTAAGTTCTCGCTGCCGCAACTTTTCATCCGACCAATCAAAATGTCTCTTATAAGATCATGAAAGTGGCAGTCGGAATGTGTTTTCTAATCATGCACCCTTGAAAATGTTAACAAGGGGTATTCCTGACGACAGTTACGGCCCATACTACTGATTCCGTCAAAAGTATCATCTATCTCTTGCTTCCGTGGGATAAACATTTGAACAAAGGAGGCGTTGCACGGTATGTGGGAAGCACTGACATTCAATCGCAATGATATATTAGACATTCCGGAATGTTCGTTTGTTCAGTTTTCAAAATTTTAATCGAGAACTGTGTCAATATATTTTTCAAGCGTAGTCTGAAATGGAAGTCGCCAGGTTGAAACGAGTGCCGTAAAGCTCGAGAAAGCTGCTTTCTAATTGGGTGATGTCAGCTTCTTGTTAGTTGTTTTAGTGGTCAGCCAAAGTTCGCGAAAGGTCGTTCTGACATGACCCGTAATTGGATGTCCTCAGATCTTTGTTTAGCGGCAACGAGAACTTAGATCTGATTAATGTGATCGGCTGAGTGTAGAGTGGGCTCGGCTCGTTTTGACACTTTGGGTAGTCAGACTCGTTTAGTGATTTGAACGTAATATCATCTGTAGATCCGACTCGACCAGTATATCATCTGTAGTTTGTGTTTAAGTCAGGATCAAGATGATACGCTGTGATGTAACTGAAATAGCTGTATGGTGCCTTTTTTATTAGTGAATTAGTGTAGTCAGTCAAATTCAGTGTTATTCAGTGTCAGTGTAGATTGTGGAAGGAATTGTTTGACTGAAGTAATCATGGTCATATGTGGGGATTTGCACCCATGCTTGCCGTAAAAAGCATCTATGTTTGTTGTTAGAGGCAACCAACAGGATCGGGAGGTCAGGCTCGCTGACTTGCTTGATGCATGTAATCATATCTCAATTGCGTGGATCGATGCTCATGATGTCAATCTCTGGATTGTCTGATCCAGACTTGATAATTTTACAGACCACCATCATATAGCTGGAATATTGCTGAGTGAGGCATTAATTAAACAAACATGGTCATATGCACATTCTGAGTGGTTTGTCATAACAAGTCTTCCAGTAATACATAGAGAAGAATTGCCTCTTTATTTAAGGGTGCATCACCTTCTGTATGGTGTCTTATATAGAGGAGCATCGCCTTCTGTATGGTGCCTTATATAGAGGAGTATCGCCTTCTGTATGGTGACTTATACAGGGGAGCATCGTCTTCTGTATGGTGTCTTATATAGAGGAGCATCGCCTGCTGTATGGTGTCTTATATAGAGGAGCATCGCCTTCTGTATGGTGCCTTATATAGGGGAGCATCACCTTCTGTATGGTGACTTATATAGAGGAGCATCACCTTCTGTATGGTGCCTTATATAGAGGAGCATCACCTTCTGTATGGTGCCTTATATAGGGGAGCATCGCCTTCTGTATGGTGACTTATATGGAGGAGCATTGCCTTCTGTATGGTGCCTTATATAGGGGAGCATCACCTTCTGTATGTTGCCTTATATTGGGGAGCATCACCTTCTTTGTTTATTGTTTAAGGTCACACTGAGCAATATTTCAGACCTGAGTTTACCAGGTGTATCCCTCGGATAACACACAGAGACAAACACACCTTCACACATTCACACATTCGCACACTCAGCAATATATTCCAGCCATATGATTGCGGTATGTAAAAAATCGAGTGTGGACCCGACAATCCAGTGATTGATATCATGAGCATCAATCAATGCAATTGGGATACAATGATATGCATCAATCAAGTCAGCGAGCCTGACCACCCGATCCCGTTAGTCACCTCTTATGACAAGCATTGTTTCCTGTTACGACAAGCATGGGTTGCTGAAGAACTATTGTGACTGGATCTTTACAGGTCACATCACCATCTGTATAGGTGCCTTATATAGCGGAGCATCAACTTGGGGAATCATGTCTTGCTGAAGGGGCGCCTTATACAGGGATGCCTCCCTTTTGCTAAGATTACGAGTGTGAGTGAGTTGGGTTTAACATAGCTTTTAACAGTATTACAGTTATATTGCAGCGTGACAGCTTAATGTGGGAGGAAAGCCTTAAGTGATGTAGGTCTTAGACGTTTACCACTTCGGTGAAACTCGCAAGCACGGGTATGGTGCTGACAAACCTAGAAACAAAATCGAGGTGCACCGGGAATCGAACCCACAATCATAAGTTACTGGCATGCCCAAGGAAAGCGATGCCTTAGACGACTGGGCCACCCATGCCCCCTCTAAGATTACGAAGCATCATGGGGTACATCAGATATACCCTGGGTTCTGTGGTGAGTCTCAAGGAAGTTTACAAGCCACTGTAGGTCATCATATCACTTTGTTATAATTAGTCCAGAGAATACCAGCACCCTTTTGTAAGCACTTGTGTTTATGATTTTGCATCTAGATGTAGTGATACAATGTACATAGCTTTTGTATCTCTTTATAACGAACATTGTATATAATATGTCATTGTTAATTCTTGTTCTCTAATTCATAATAAGGCTGTAAAAATAAATAAAATTGGTTCTCAGGCAATATCGGGCGGGAAGCCTTTTATTTTTTTTGGGGGGTGGGAGTCGGGTCGTCTAATGCACAGGGTTGAGTATTTTATGTTAATTTTTTTCTGCAACACATTACTGTGGGCACGTAACACCGGAAATACCATGTCAACAAATCCTTACTGAAATACTCAAATTAATCATGTAATTACACGTCTATTGGCAACAAAATCTCATTAAAATCAGATTTAAGTTCTAAACAAAGATCTAAGGACATCCCATTACGGGTCACATCAGAACGACCTTTTGCGAATTTTGACCAACCACTGAAACGACTAACAAGAAGCCGACATCAGCCAATTAGAAAGCAGCTTACTCGAACTTTACGGCTCTCGTTTCAACCTGGCGACTTACATTTCAGACTACGCTTGAAAAATATGTTGACACAGTTCTCGATTAAAATTTCGAAAAATGAATAAAAAGAACATTCGGGAATGTCTAATATATGGTTGCGATTGTATGGCAGTGATTCCCACATACTGTGCAATGCCCCCTCCATTCAAATGTTTATCCCACGGAAGCGAGAGAGAGACGATAATTTTGACAGAATCAGTCGTACGGGCCGTAACTTGTTCAGAATAGCCTGTGCTAACGTTCTCGAGGTTGCATGATTAGAAAACACATTCCGACTCACTTTCATGATCTATTAAGCGACGCTTTGATTGGTCGGATGAAAGGTCGTTCTGACGTGACCCGTAATGGGATGTCCTCAGTTTTTTGTTTAGTGACAGCGAGAACTAAGATCTGATTTTAATGAGATCGGAAGATCGCACAACTCAACGTTATCTACAGCAACCCCGGTCATATTACCGCTATTGACGCCTTGAAACAAACTGTAGTGGATAGAGAATGGATATAAATCATAAATGCCTTACAGTTAATCGCTGAAAGTCATACTTGTTGTAGTTTGACTATTATATGTCAACATATCGCAATCGCGGGCACATGGATGGTGATTGGTCAAATTCTTCCATTCGAAAACATTCCTGGCAATGGCGATCAGCTGAACCAAAGTGCTACGCTTATGGTTATCAATTTATTTCACATATATATATAGTAAAGCTGCAACTACACATAATATTGGAATAAATTATTCCTGATAAAATAATAGTTTCAGATACAATTTTTCCGCTCATTGTATCAAAATTCTTTAAAGTTGTATTATCGTCCGAATCGCCGGTTGATTCCGAGAAAAGTGTGTACAGCTTAATGCTACTTCCGGCTTAGTTTACGAGACAAGACGCACGGTAATCTTTATCTCTGCATATAAAACAATGCCAATCAGAACAGGAAATACAATTTAATGGGCTAATTATGTTTAGTTATGTTTTATCTCAAATTTCAAATTTGTATTGACCAAGTTTAATTGATATAATCTGTTCGGTCTCCCTGAATTCGCTGAAGGGCTACGATGTATTTTTTTCTGCAGAAGACATTTTTATTGCATATGTAGAGATTTTGTATGCACTAGTGATGTGCTTTATTCCGATTCGCTTTAGAGCCGGGGTATATAAATTAGCATTGATTTCCCGAATGAAACATTGTCCCTCATACAGCACACAAATGTCTAGTGATGTTGTATCGCAAATTTAATGTTTTCATTTCTGGGCAAAACATGTACAGGACCTCCTCAAGAGTCACAAAAAAAAACACCAAGCAAAGACGATCGCACTTTCACAAATAATTTTTTTTTTTTATTTTAGTGGTGTTCAAGGGAACAATGTGCATGTCAGGACACATGCTTCTTGTACTGATAGGTTTGATGCTATAAATATGTCCACCATGACACATCTGGAAGTTAGAGAGTGTGGTACCACCATGACACGTCCAACAGCCACGACTACCAGCTATAGAGTGGTGCCACCATGACACATCCAACAACCACGACTACCAGCTATAGAGTGGTTCCCCTGGGCCATATCCAACAGCCATGATAACCAGCTGTAGAGTGGTTCCCCTGCCCACATAAAAAAAACCCTTTAAGGCCAGCCATAGAGTGGTGACACCATGACACATCCAACAACAATGTCTGCCAGCTAGAGTGGTGACACCATGACACATCCAACAACAATGTCTGCCAGTTAGATTGGTGACACCATGACACATCCAACAACCATGTCTGCCAGCTAGAGAGGTGACACCATGACACATCCAACAACCATGGCTGCCAGCTAGAGTGGTGACACCATGACACATCCAACAACCATGGCTGCCAGCTAGAGTGGTGCCACCATGACACATCCAACAACAATGTCTGCCAGCTAGAGTGGTGCCACCATGACACATCCAACAACCATGGCTGCCAGCTAGAGTGGTGACACCATGACACATCCAACAACCATGGCTGCCAGCTAGAGTGGTGACACCATGACACATCCAACAACCATGGCTGCCAGCTAGAGTGGTGCCACCATGACACATCCAACAACAATGTCTGCCAGCTAGAGTGGTGACACCATGACACATCCAACAACCATGGCTGCCAGCTAGAGTGGTGACACCAGGATACATCCAACAACCATGTCTGCTGTGCTCTGAGGAGGATGTTCTTCCAACACGACAGCCTTGGTTTCTGTCACACGCTTCCTGTCCACCTCATACATCCACAACATCTCGAGTACTAGATGGTGCATACCTCCACCTACGGTTGGTTTGGCATGGGTATCATCTTTTCACCTACCTATGTGGGAATATACTATTTACAACATGTCAGTCTCATTGAGGCATAGCAGCTTCCAATGCTTCAGACTTGATCACCACAGATTGCTCAGGATTAGTCCAATGTTATTGACATTATCACTGTTGATACGGCCCCTCACTCCACCTCCCCCACCACATGCTTCTCTTTCTCCTTGACCTCCGGGATGGCCCCTGGCTTACTGTGTGCTTGGCGGTTGCTCTCCCTGGAAATACAGAGCGTACATGTATATGACCGTGTAAACATTTACTGCATTAGGGTTGCCTCAATAGTTCAACATTGACTGCATTAGGTTGCCTCAATAGTTCAACATTGACTGCATTAGGGTTGCCTCAATAGTTAAACATTTACTGCATTAGGGTTGCCTCAATAGTTAAACATTGACTACATTAGGGTTGCCTCAATAGTTAAAAATTGACTGCATTAGGGTAGCCTCAATAGTTAAACATTGACTGCGTTAAGGTTGCCTCAATAGTTAAACTTTGACTGCATTAGGGTTGCCTCAATAGTTAAACATTGACTGCATTAAGGTTGCCTCAATAGTTAAACATTTACTGCATTAGGGTTGCCTCAATAGTTAAACATTGACTGCATTAAGGTTGCCTCAATAGTTAAACATTGACTGCATTAGGGTAGCCTCAATAGTTAAACATTGACTGCATTAGGGTTGCCTCAATAGTTAAACATTGACTGCATTAGGGTTGCCTCAATAGTTAAACATTGACTGCATTAAGGTTGCCTCAATAGTTAAACATTGACTGCATTAGGGTAGCCTCAATAGTTAAACATTGACTGCAATAGGGTTGCCTCAATAGTTAAACATTGACTACATTAAGGTTGCCTCAATAGTTAAACATTGACTGCATTAGGGTAGCCTCAATAGTTAAACATTGACTGCAATAGGGTAGCCTCAATAGTTAAACATTGACTGCAATAGGGTTGCCTCAATAGTTAAACATTGACTACATTAACGTAGCCTCAATAGTTAAACATTGACTGCAATAGGGTTGCCTCAATAGTTAAACATTGACTACATTAAGGTTGCCTCAATAGTTAAACATTGACTACTTTAAGGTTGCCTCAATAGTTAATTATTGACTGCATTAGGGTTGCCTCAATATTTAAACATTAACTGCCTTAGGGTTGCCTCAATAGTTAAACATTGACTGCCTTAGGGTTGCCTCAATAGTTAAACATTGACTGCCTTAGGGTTGCCTCAATAGTTAAACATTGACTGCCTTAGGGTTGCCTCAATAGTTAAACATTGACTGCCTTAGGGTTGCCTCAATAGTTAAACATTGACTGCATTAGGGTTGCCTCAATAGTTAAACATTGACTGCCTTAGGGTTGCCTCAATAGTTAAACATTGACTGCCTTAGGGTTGCCTCAATAGTTAAACATTGACTATGTTAAGGTTGCCTCAATAGTTAAACATTGACTGCAATAGGGTTGCCTCAATAGTTAAACATTGACTACATTAAGGTTGCCTCAATAGTTAAACATTGACTACATTAAGGTAGCCTCAATAGTTAAACATTGACTGCAATAGGGTAGCCTCAATAGTTAAACATTGACTGCAATAGGGTTGCCTCAATAGTTAAACATTGACTACATTAAGGTTGCCTCAATAGTTAAACATTGACTACTTTAAGGTTGCCTCAATAGTTAATTATTGACTGCATTAGGGTTGCCTCAATAGTTAAACATTGACTGCCTTAGGGTTGCCTCAATAGTTAAACATTGACTGCCTTAGGGTTGCCTCAATAGTTAAACATTGACTGCAATAGGGTTGCCTCAATAGTTAAACATTGACTACATTAGGGTTGCCTCAATAGTTAAACATTGACTGCATTAGGGTTGCCTCAATAGTTAAACATTGACTGCCTTAGGGTTGCCTCAATAGTTAAACATTGACTGCCTTAGGGTTGCCTCAATAGTTAAACATTGACTACATTAGGGTTGCCTCAATAGTTAAACTTTGACTGCATTAGGGTTGCCTCAATAGTTAAACATTGACTGCCTTAGGGTTGCCTCAATAGTTAAACATTGACTGCCTTAGGGTTGCCTCAATAGTTAAACATTGACTATGTTAAGGTTGCCTCAATAGTTAAACATTGACTGCAATAGGGTTGCCTCAATAGTTAAACATTGACTACATTAAGGTTGCCTCAATGGTTAAACATTGACTACATTAAGGTTGCCTCAATAGTTAAACATTGACTACTTTAAGGTTGCCTCAATAGTTAATTATTGACTGCATTAGGGTTGCCTCAATAGTTAAACATTGACTGCCTTAGGGTTGCCTCAATAGTTAAACATTGACTGCCTTAGGGTTGCCTCAATAGTTAAACATTGACTGCAATAGGGTTGCCTCAATAGTTAAACATTGACTACATTAGGGTTGCCTCAATAGTTAAACATTGACTGCATTAGGGTTGCCTCAATAGTTAAACATTGACTGCCTTAGGGTTGCCTCAATAGTTAAACATTGACTGCCTTAGGGTTGCCTCAATAGTTAAACATTGACTACATTAGGGTTGCCTCAATAGTTAAACATTGACTGCCTTAGGGTTGCCTCAATAGTTAAACATTGACTGCCTTAGGGTTGCCTCAATAGTTAAACATTGACTACATTAGGGTAACCTCAATAGTTAAACATTGACTACATTAGGGTTGCCTCAATAGTTAAACATTGACTGCCTTAGGGTTGCCTCAATAGTTAAACATTGACTACATTAGGGTTGCCTCAATAGTTAAACATTGACTGCATTAGGGGTTGCCTCAATAGTTAAACTTTGACTGCATTAGGGTTGCCTCAATAGTTAAACATTGACTGCCTTAGGGTTGCCTCAATAGTTAAACATTGACTGCCTTAGGGTTGCCTCAATAGTTAAACATTGACTATGTTAAGGTTGCCTCAATAGTTAAACATTGACTGCAATAGGGTTGCCTCAATAGTTAAACATTGACTACATTAAGGTTGCCTCAATGGTTAAACATTGACTGCAATAGGGTTGCCTCAATAGTTAAACATTGACTACATTAACGTAGCCTCAATAGTTAAACATTGACTGCAATAGGGTTGCCTCAATAGTTAAACATTGACTACATTAAGGTTGCCTCAATAGTTAAACATTGACTACTTTAAGGTTGCCTCAATAGTTAATTATTGACTGCATTAGGGTTGCCTCAATATTTAAACATTAACTGCCTTAGGGTTGCCTCAATAGTTAAACATTGACTGCCTTAGGGTTGCCTCAATAGTTAAACATTGACTGCCTTAGGGTTGCCTCAATAGTTAAACATTGACTGCCTTAGGGTTGCCTCAATAGTTAAACATTGACTGCAATAGGGTAGCCTCAATAGTTAAACATTGACTACAATAGGGTAGCCTCAATAGTTAAACATTGACTGCAATAGGGTTGCCTCAATAGTTAAACATTGACTACATTAAGGTTGCCTCAATAGTTAAACATTGACTACTTTAAGGTTGCCTCAATAGTTAATTATTGACTGCATTAGGGTTGCCTCAATATTTAAACATTGACTGCCTTAGGGTTGCCTCAATAGTTAAACATTGACTGCCTTAGGGTTGCCTCAATAGTTAAACATTGACTACATTAGGGTTGCCTCAATAGTTAAACATTGACTACATTAGGGTTGCCTCAATAGTTAAACATTGACTGCATTAGGGGTTGCCTCAATAGTTAAACATTGACTGCATTAGGGGTTGCCTCAATAGTTAAACTTTGACTGCATTAGGGTTGCCTCAATAGTTAAACATTGACTGCCTTAGGGTTGCCTCAATAGTTAAACATTGACTGCCTTAGGGTTGCCTCAATAGTTAAACATTGACTGCAATAGGGTTGCCTCAATAGTTAAACATTGACTACATTAAGGTTGCCTCAATAGTTAAACATTGAGTACTTTAAGGTTGCCTCAATAGTTAATTATTGACTGCATTAGGGTTGCCTCAATAGTTAAACATTGACTGCCTTAGGGTTGCCTCAATAGTTAAACATTGACTGCCTTAGGGTTGCCTCAATAGTTAAACATTGACTGCAATAGGGTTGCCTCAATAGTTAAACATTGACTACATTAGGGTTGCCTCAATAGTTAAACATTGACTGCATTAGGGTTGCCTCAATATTTAAACATTGACTGCCTTAGGGTTGCCTCAATAGTTAAACATTGACTACATTAGGGTTGCCTCAATAGTTAAACATTGACTGCCTTAGGGTTGCCTCAATAGTTAAACATTGACTATGTTAAGGTTGCCTCAATAGTTAAACATTGACTGCATTAGGGTTGCTCAATAGTTAAACATTGACTGCATTAGGGTTGCCATCAGCAGCTTACTTTCGCCTGTGTGAAGCTCGGATCAGTTTGATTTCTTTGGCGCCATTGTAGACAAATTGGGGTACATGACGATGCCGTGAGATTCGCCGGACTTGGGGGTGGTGTCCAAACTTTTCCTTTAGTTTCTCATTGTAGTTGAATGCTGTTTTCTCCCTTGGTTTTAGCTGTAAGAAAATATACATATGTCAAGGTTATCTACCGCTTAACCTTGGTGTTGGGGTCAGGGTGAATGAGTGAGTGAATATGGTTTTACGCCGCTTTTAGCAATATTCCAGCAATATCACGACATGCAGCTGGAAGCTGTCTCTTAGTGACACCAGGTGGACCGTTGTCTCCAGGGTGACACCAGGTGGACAGTTGTCTCTTAGTGACGCTATGCAGCTGGAAGCTTTCTCTTAGTGACACCAGGTGGACAGTTGTCTCTTAGTGACGACATGCAGCTGGAAGCTGTCTCTTAGTGACACCAGGTGGACCGTTGTCTCTTAGTGACGACATGCAGCTGGAAGCTTTCTCTTAGTGACACCAGGTGGACAGTTGTCTCTTAGTGACGACATGCAGCTGGAAGCTGTCTCTTAGTGACACCAGGTGGACCGTTGTCTCCAGGGTGACACCAGGTGGACAGTTGTCTCTTAGTGACGACATGCAGCTGGAAGTTTTCTCTTAGTAAGTGAGTGAGTTTGGTTTTACGCCGCTTTTAGCAATATTCCAGCAATAGCACGGTGGGGGACACCAGAAATGGGCTTCACACATTGTACCCATGTCGGGATTCGAACCCCGGGTCTTCAGCGTGACGAGCGAACGCTTTAACCACTAGGCTACCCGATCACCTCTTGTCTCTTAGTGACACTATGCAGCTGGACAGTTTTCTCTTAGTGACGCTATGCAGCTGGAGGCTGTCTCTTAGTGGCACTATGCAGCTGGACAGTTGTCTCTTAGTGACACCATGCAGCTGGACAGTTTTCTCTTAGTGACGCCATGCAGCTGGACAGATGTCTCTTAGTGACACTATGCAGCTGGAAGTTGTCTCTTAGTGACACCAGGTGGACCGTTGTCTCTTAGTGACACCATGCAGCTGGACAGTTGTCTCTTAGTGACACCAGGTGGACCGTTGTCTCTTAGTGACACCATGCAGCTGGACAGTTGTCTCTTAGTGACACCATGCAGCTGGACAGTTGTCTCTTAGTGACACCAGGTGGACTGTTGTCTCTTAGTGACACCATGCAGCCGGACAGTTGTCCCTTAGAGACACTATGCAGCTGGACAGTTGTCTCTTAGTGACACTATGCAGCTGGAAAGTTGTCTCTTAGTGACACCATGCAGCTGGACAGTTGTCTCTTAGTGACACTATGCAGCTGGAAGCTGTCTCTTAGTGACACTATGCAGCTGGAAGTTGTCTCTTAGTAACACTATGCAGCTGGACAGTTGTCTCTTAGTGACACCATGCAGCTGAACAGTTGTCTCTTAGTGACACCATGCAGCTGGAAGCTGTCTCTTAGTGACACCAGCTGGACAGTTGTCTCTTCGTGACACCATGCAGCTGGACAGTTATGTATCAGTCACAACTTCTGGAAACTTTTATATCCAAGGATGGGAAGCAGAAGGAAGACACACGCACCACTCCCAGTTTCTCAGAGGCATTTGCCTTCCAAACTCTGATGTTCATCTCATCGGAGGCGGACAGAATGTACTTATTGTCCAGTGACCACCGCACCACACTGACGCGCTGCATCCGCTTGGCATGGTAAATCTCCCTGCAAACAAAGAACACAAGATCTCACCATAAGAGGCACACATGCCATGAAGCTTTGTTTGTTCATCTCCAGTATTCCAGCAACAGGCACCTGTTCAACACTAGACCTATCAATGTACCATCTTTGGTGAAGAAATATTGTACGGTTTTCAAGATCAGCTCCAGAAACGAGCATTATGGCCATTTTCAGCATAGATACATGTGAAAGCAAGGCGTGTGTCTGAGATACATGTGAAAGCAAGGCGTGTGTCTGAGATACATGTGGCAGCAAGGTGTGTGTCTGAGATACATATGGAAGCAAGGTGTGTGTCTGAGATACATATGGAAGCAAGGTGTGTGTCTGAGATACATATGGAAGCAAGGTGTGTGTCTGAGATACATGTGGAAGCAAGGTGTGTGTCTGAGATACATATGGAAGCAAGGTGTGTGTCTGAGATACATATGGAAGCAAGGTGTGTGTCTGAGATACATGTGGCAGCAAGGTGTGTGTCTGAGATACATGTGGAAGCAAGGTGTGTGTCTGAGATACATGTGGCAGCAAGACGTGTGTCTGAGATACATGTGGCAGCAAGGTGTGTGTCTGAGATACATATGGCAGCAAGGTGTGTGTCTGAGATACATATGGAAGCAAGGTGTGTGTCTGAGATACATATGGAAGCAAGGTGTGTGTCTGAGATACATGTGAAAGCAAGGCGTGTGTCTGAGATACATATGGAAGCAAGGTGTGTATCTGAGATACATATGGAAGCAAGGTGTGTGTCTGAGATACATGTGAAAGCAAGGCGTGTGTCTGAGATACATGTGAAAGCAAGGTGTGTGTCTGAGATACATGTGAAAGCAAGGTGTGTGTCTGAGATACATATGGAAGCAAGGTGTGTGTCTGAGATACATGTGAAAGCAAGGCGTGTGTCTGAGATACATATGGAGGCAAGGTGTGTGTCTGAGATACATATGGCAGCAAGGTGTGTGTCTGAGATACATGTGAAAGCAAGGCGTGTGTCTGAGATACATATGGAAGCAAGGTGTGTGTCTGAGATACATATGGAAGCAAGGTGTGTGTCTGAGATACATGTGACAGCAAGGTGTGTGTCTGAGATACATATGGAAGCAAGGTGTGTGTCTGAGATACATATGAAAGCAAGGCGTGTGTCTGAGATACATGTGAAAGCAAGACGTGTGTCTGAGATACATGTGAAAGCAAGGCGTGTGTCTGAGATACATATGGAAGCAAGGTGTGTGTCTGAGATACATGTGGCAGCAAGGTGTGTGTCTGAGATACATGTGGCAGCAAGGCGTGTTTCTGAGATACATGTGGCAGCAAGGCGTGTGTCTGAGATACATGTGAAAGCAAGGCGTGTGTCTGAGATACATATGGAAGCAAGGTGTGTGTCTGAGATACATGTGAAAGCAAGGTGTGTGTCTGAGATACATGTGGCAGCAAGGCGTGTGTCTGAGATACATGTGAAAGCAAGGCGTGTGTCTGAGATACATATGGAAGCAAGGTGTGTGTCTGAGATACATATGGAAGCAAGGCGTGTGTCTGAGATACATGTGGCAGCAAGGCGTGTGTCTGAGATACATATGGAAGCAAGGTGTGTGTCTGAGATACATGTGGCAGCAAGACGTGTGTCTGAGATACATGTGAAAGCAAGACGTGTGTCTGAGATACATATGGAAGCAAGGTGTGTGTCTGAGATACATATGGAAGCAAGGCGTGTGTCTGAGATACATATGGAAGCAAGGTGTGTGTCTGAGATACATATGGAGGCAAGGTGTGTGTCTGAGATACATATGGAAGCAAGGTGTGTGTCTGAGATACATATGGAGGCAAGGTGTGTGTCTGAGATACATATGGAGGCAAGGTGTGTGTCTGAGATACATATGGAGGCAAGGTGTGTGTCTGAGATACATATGGAAGCAAGGTGTGTGTCTGAGATACATATGGAGGCAAGGTGTGTGTCTGAGATACATATGGAGGCAAGGTGTGTGTCTGAGATACATGTGGCAGCAAGGCGTGTGTCTGAGATACATGTGAAAGCAAGACGTGTGTCTGAGATACATGTGAAAGCAAGACGTGTGTCTGAGATACATATGGAAGCAAGACGTGTGTCTGAGATACATATGGAAGCAACATGTGTGTCTGAGATACATGTGAAAGCAAGACGAGTGTCTGAGATACATGTGAAAGCAAGACGTGTGTCTGAGATACATATGGAAGCAAGACGTGTGTCTGAGATACATGTGAAAGCAAGACGTGTGTCTGAGATACATATGGAAGCAAGGTGTGTGTCTGAGATACATATGGAAGCAAGGTGTGTGTCTGAGATACATGTGAAAGCAAGACGTGTGTCTGAGATACATGTGAAAGCAAGACGTGTGTCTGAGATACATATGGAAGCAAGACGTGTGTCTGAGATACATATGGAAGCAAGGCGTGTGTCTGAGATACATATGGAAGCAAGGTGTGTGTCTGAGATACATATGGAAGCAAGGTGTGTGTCTGAGATACATATGGAGGCAAGGTGTGTGTCTGAGATACATGTGGCAGCAAGGTGTGTGTCTGAGATACATATGGAAGCAAGGTGTGTGTCTGAGATACATATGGAAGCAAGGCGTGTGTCTGAGATACATGTGGCAGCAAGGTGTGTGTCTGAGATACATATGGAAGCAAGGTGTGTGTCTGAGATACATGTGGCAGCAAGACGTGTGTCTGAGATACATGTGAAAGCAAGGCGTGTGTCTGAGATACATATGGAAGCAAGGTGTGTGTCTGAGATACATATGGAAGCAAGGTGTGTGTCTGAGATACATATGGAAGCAAGGTGTGTGTCTGAGATACATGTGGCAGCAAGGCGTGTGTCTGAGATACATGTGAAAGCAAGGCGTGTGTCTGAGATACATGTGGCAGCAAGGTGTGTGTCTGAGATACATGTGAAAGCAAGGCGTGTGTCTGAGATACATATGGAAGCAAGGTGTGTGTCTGACATACATATGGAAGCAAGGTGTGTGTCTGAGATACATATGGAAGCAAGGTGTGTGTCTGAGATACATGTGGCAGCAAGGTGTGTGTCTGAGATACATGTGGAAGCAAGGTGTGTGTCTGAGATACATGTGGCAGCAAGACGTGTGTCTGAGATACATGTGGCAGCAAGGTGTGTGTCTGAGATACATATGGCAGCAAGGTGTGTGTCTGAGATACATATGGCAGCAAGGTGTGTGTCTGAGATACATGTGGCAGCAAGGTGTGTGTCTGAGATACATGTGGCAGCAAGGTGTGTGTCTGAGATACATATGGCAGCAAGGTGTGTGTCTGAGATACATGTGGCAGCAAGGTGTGTGTCTGAGATACATGTGGCAGCAAGGCGTGTGTCTGAGATACATGTGAAAGCAAGGCGTGTGTCTGAGATACATGTGGCAGCAAGGAGTGTGTCTGAGATACATGTGAAAGCAAGGTGTGTGTCTGAGATACATATGGAAGCAAGGTGTGTGTCTGAGATACATATGGAGGCAAGGTGTGTATCTGAGATACATATGGAAGCAAGGTGTGTGTCTGAGATACATATGGAGGCAAGGCGTGTGTCTGAGATACATGTGGAAGCAAGGTGTGTGTCTGAGATACATATGGAAGCAAGGTGTGTGTCTGAGTTACATATGGAAGCAAGGTGTGTGTCTGAGATACATATGGAAGCAAGGTGTGTGTCTGAGATACATATGGAAGCAAGGTGTGTGTCTGAGATACATGTGGCAGCAAGGTGTGTGTCTGAGATACATGTGGAAGCAAGGTGTGTGTCTGAGATACATGTGGCAGCAAGACGTGTGTCTGAGATACATGTGACAGCAAGGTGTGTGTCTTTGATACATATGGCAGCAAGGTGTGTGTCTGAGATACATGTGAAAGCAAGGCGTGTGTCTGAGATACATGTGGAAGCAAGGTGTGTGTCTTTGATACATATGGAGGCAAGGTGTGTGTCTGGGATACATGTGGCAGCAAGGTGTGTGTCTGAGATACATGTGGAAGCAAGGTGTGTGTCTGAGATACATGTGGCAGCAAGACGTGTGTCTGAGATACATGTGGCAGCAAGGTGTGTGTCTGAGATACATATGGCAGCAAGGTGTGTGTCTGAGATACATGTGAAAGCAAGGCGTGTGTCTGAGATACATATGGAGGCAAGGTGTGTGTCTGAGATACATGTGAAAGCAAGGTGTGTGTCTGAGATACATATGGCAGCAAGGTGTGTGTCTGAGATACATATGGAAGCAAGGTGTGTGTCTGAGATACATATGGAAGCAAGGTGTGTGTCTGAGATACATATGGAAGCAAGGTGTGTGTCTGAGATACATGTGGCAGCAAGGTGTGTGTCTGAGATACATATGGAAGCAAGGTGTGTGTCTGAGATACATGTGGCAGCAAGGCGTGTGTCTGAGATACATGTGAAAGCAAGGCGTGTGTCTGAGATACATGTGGCAGCAAGGTGTGTGTCTGAGATACATGTGAAAGCAAGGCGTGTGTCTGAGATACATATGGAAGCAAGGTGTGTGTCTGAGATACATGTGGAAGCAAGGTGTGTGTCTGAGATTCACCGATACTGTGAGAAGGCCTTCCTCGGTTTGGACGTACCTGCTGTGTCGCTGGTCAACAGGAAATATTCTGACACACTTGTCATAGCCGGCTGACACGAACTCCCGTCCAGTAGGTGAGTAATCCACGTCCATCACTGAAGCAGAGGACAGCCATGACAAAAACGAAGCGAACACATTCGAGTTTCACTACACACTGAAATGGTATGTTAGAAGTCTTGTTCGTGCTGGACAACACAGAGTCATCAACTAAGACATGACAAAAACGAAGAGAACACATCCGAGTTTCACGACACACTGAAATAGGATGTTAGGAGTCTTGTTCGTGCTGGATGATATAGGTGGAGCAGGTGTAATTAGTTCAGGGTGGAGAGGGTGTGATCAGGTCAGGTTGGAGTGTGTGTCATCAGGTCAGGGTGGAGTGTGTGTCATCAGGTCAGGGTGGAGCATGTGTCATCAGGTCAGGGTGGAGAGGGTGTCATCATGTCAGGATGGAGTGGGTGTCATCAGGTCAGGATGGAGTGGGTGTCATCAGGTCAGGATGGAGTGGGTGTCATCAGGTCAGGATGGAGTGAGTGTCATCAGGTCAGCGTGGAGTGTGTGTCATCAGGTCAGGGTAGAGTGTGTGTCATCAGGTCAGGTTAGAGTGTGTGTCTTTAGGTCAGGATGGAGTGGGTGTCATCAGGTCAGGGTGGAGCATGTGTCATCAGGTCAGGTTGGAGAGGGTGTCATCATGTCAGGATGGAATGGGTGTCATCAGGTCAGGATGGAGTGGGTGTCATCAGGTCAGGATGGAGAGGGTGTCATCAGTTCAGTGTGGAGTGGGTGTCATCAGTTCAGGGTGGAGTGTGTGTCATCAGGTCAGGTTGGAGTGTGTGTCATCAGGTCAGGTTGGAGTGGGTGTCATCAGGTCAGGTTGGAGTGGGTGTCATCAGGTCAGGGTGGAGCATGTGTCATCAGGTCAGGGTGGAGTGGGTGTCATCAGGTCAGGGTGGAGCATGTGTCATCAGGTCAGGTTGGAGAGGGTGTCATCATATCAGGATGGAGTGTGTGTCATCAGGTCAGGATGGAGTGGGTGTCATCAGTTCAGGGTGAAGTGGGTGTCATCAAGTCAGGGTGGAGCATGTGTCATCAGGTCAGGTTGGAGAGGGTGTCATCAGGTCTGGTTGGCGTTGGTGTCATCAGCTCAGGGTGGAGTGGGTGTCATCAGTTCAGGGTGGAGCATGTGTCATCAGGTCAGGTTGGAGAGGGTGTCATCAGGTCAGGGTTAAGAGGGTGTCATCATGTCAGGATGGAGTGGGTGTCATCATGTCAGGGTGGAGTGTGTGTCATCAGGTCAGGGTGGAGTGTGTGTCATCAGGTCAGGGTGGAGCATGTGTCATCAGGTCAGGGTGGAGAGGGTGTCATCATGTCAGGGTGGAGTGTGTGTCATCAGGTCAGATTGGAGTGTGTGTCATCAGGTCAGGGTGGAGTGTGTGTCATCAGGTCAGGTTGGAGTGGGTGTCATCAGGTCAGGGTGGAGCATGTGTCATCAGGTCAGGGTGGAGTGGGTGTCATCAGGTCAGGGTGGAGCATGTGTCATCAGGTCAGGTTGGAGAGGGTGTCATCATATCAGGATGGAGTGTGTGTCATCAGGTCAGGATGGAGTGGGTGTCATCAGTTCAGGGTGAAGTGGGTGTCATCAAGTCAGGGTGGAGCATGTGTCATCAGGTCAGGTTGGAGAGGGTGTCATCAGGTCTGGTTGGCGTTGGTGTCATCAGCTCAGGGTGGAGTGGGTGTCATCAGTTCAGGGTGGAGCATGTGTCATCAGGTCAGGTTGGAGAGGGTGTCATCAGGTCAGGGTTAAGAGGGTGTCATCATGTCAGGATGGAGTGGGTGTCATCATGTCAGGGTGGAGTGTGTGTCATCAGGTCAGGGTGGAGTGTGTGTCATCAGGTCAGGGTGGAGCATGTGTCATCAGGTCAGGGTGGAGAGGGTGTCATCATGTCAGGGTGGAGTGTGTGTCATCAGGTCAGATTGGAGTGTGTGTCATCAGGTCAGGGTGGAGTGTGTGTCATCAGGTCAGGGTGGAGCATGTGTCATCAGGTCAGGGTGAAGAGGGTGTCATCAGGTCAGGGCGGAGAGGGTGTCATGTCAGGATGGAGTTGGTGTCATCAGGTCAGGATGGAGTGGGTGTCATCAGGTCAGGATGGAGAGGGTGTCATCAGGTCATTGTGGAGTTGGTGTCATCAGCTCAGGGTGGAGAGTGTGTCTTAAGGTCAGGATGGAGTGGGTGTCATCAGGTCAGGGTGGAGCATGTGTCATCAGGTCAGGTTGGATTGGGTGTCATCAGGTCAGGGTGGAGCATGTGTCATCAGGTCAGGGTGGATTGGGTGTCATCAGGTCAGGGTGGAAAGGGTGTCATCAGGTCAGTGTGCAATGGGTGTCATCAGGTCAGGGTGGAGATGGTGTCATCAGGTCAGTGTGCAATGGGTGTCATCAGGTCAATGTGGAGAGGGTGTCATCAGTTCAGGGTGGAGTGTGTGTCATCAGGTCAGGATGGAGTGGGTGTCATCAGTTCAGGGTGAAGTGGGTGTCATCAGGTCAGGGTGGAGCATGTGTCATCAGGTCAGGTTGGAGGGGGTGTCATCATGTCTGGTTGGCGTGGGTGTCATCAGCTCAGGGTGGAGTGTGTGTCATCAGGTCAGGTTAGAGTGTGTGTCTTTAGGTCAGGATGGAGTGGGTGTCATCAGGTCAGGGTGGAGCATGTGTCATCAGGTCAGATTGGAGTGTGTGTCATCAGGTCAGGATGGAGTGTGTGTCATCAGGTCAGGGTGGAGTGGGTGTCATCAGGTCAGGGTGCAGCCTGTGTCATCAGGTCAGGGTGGATTGGGTGTCATCAGGTCAGGGTGGAAAGGGTGTCATCAGGTCAGTGTGCAATGGGTGTCATCAGGTCAGGGTTGAGAGGGTGTCATCAGGTCAGTGTGCAATGGGTGTCATCAGGTCAGTGTGGAGTGGGTGTCATCAGATCAGGGTGGAGTGGGTGTCATCAGGTAAGGGTGGAAAGGGTGTCATCAGGTCTGGTTGGAGAGGGTGTCATCAGCTCAGGGTGGAGTGGTTGTCATCAGGTCAGGGTGGAGTGTGTGTCATCAGGTCAGTGTGCAATGGGTGTCATCAGGTCAGTGTGCAATGGGTGTCATCAGGTCAGGGTGGAGAGGGTGTCATCAGCTCAGGGTGGACTGGGTGTCATCAGGTCAGGATGGAGTGTGTGTCATCAGGTCAGGGTGGAGCATGTGTCATCAGGTCAGGGTGAAGAGGGTGTCATCAGGTCAGGGCGGAGAGGGTGTCATGTCAGGATGGAGTTGGTGTCATCAGGTCAGGATGGAGTGGGTGTCATCAGGTCAGGATGGAGAGGGTGTCATCAGGTCAGTGTGGAGTTGGTGTCATCAGCTCAGGGTGGAGTGTGTGTCATCAGGTCAGGTTAGAGTGTGTGTCTTTAGGTCAGGGTGGAGTTGGTGTGATCAGGTCAGATTGGAGTGTGTGTCATCAGGTCAGGATGGAGTGGGTGTCATCAGCTCAGGGTGGAGTGTGTGTCTTTAGGTCAGGATGGAGTGGGTGTCATCAGGTCAGGGTGGAGCATGTGTCATCAGGTCAGGTTGGAGTGGGTGTCATCAGGTCAGGGTGGAGCCTGTGTCATCAGGTCAGGTTGGAGAGGGTGTCATCAGGTCTGGTTGGCGTGGGTGTCATCAGCTCAGGGTGGAGTGGGTGTCATCAGTTCAGGGTGGAGCATGTGTCATCAGGTCAGGGTGGAGAGGGTGTCATCAGGTCAGGGTGGAGAGGGTGTCATCATGTGAGGATGGAGTGGGTGTCATCAGGTCAGGGTGGAGTGTGTGTCATCAGGTCAGGGTGGAGCATGAGTCATCAGGTCAGGGTAGAGAGGGTGTCATCACGTCAGGGTGGAGTGTGTGTCATCAGGTCAGATTGGAGTGTGTGTCATCAGGTCAGGGTGGAGTGTGTGTCATCAGGTCAGGGTGGAGCATGTGTCATCAGGTCAGGGTGAAGAGGGTGTCATCAGGTCAGGGTGGAGAGGGTGTCATGTCAGGATGGAGTGGGTGTCATCAGGTCAGGATGGAGTGGGTGTCATCAGGTCAGGATGGAGAGGGTGTCATCAGGTCAGTGTGGTGTTGGTGTCATCAGCTCAGGGTGGAGTGTGTGTCATCAGGTCAGGTTAGAGTGTGTGTCTTTAGGTCAGGATGGAGTGGGTGTCATCAGGTCAGGGTGGAGCATGTGTCATCAGGTCAGATTGGAGTGTGTGTCATCAGGTCAGGATGGAGTGTGTGTCATCAGGTCAGGGTGGAGTGGGTGTCATCAAGTCAGGGTGGAGCCTGTGTCATCAGGTCAGGGTGGATTGGGTGTCATCAGGTCAGGGTGGAAAGGGTGTCATCAGGTCAGTGTGCAATGGGTGTCATCAGGTCAGGGTGGAGAGGGTGTCATCAGGTCAGGGTGGAGCGTGTGTCATCAGGTCAGGGTGGAGCATGAGTCATCAGGTCAGGGTAGAGAGGGTGTCATCACGTCAGGGTGGAGTGTGTGTCATCAGGTCAGATTGGAGTGTGTGTCATCAGGTCAGGGTGGAGTGTGTGTCATCAGGTCAGGGTGGAGCATGTGTCATCAGGTCAGGGTGAAGAGGGTGTCATCAGGTCAGGGTGGAGAGGGTGTCATGTCAGGATGGAGTGGGTGTCATCAGGTCAGGATGGAGTGGGTGTCATCAGGTCAGGATGGAGAGGGTGTCATCAGGTCAGTGTGGAGTTGGTGTCATCAGCTCAGGGTGGAGTGTGTGTCATCAGGTCAGGTTAGAGTGTGTGTCTTTAGGTCAGGATGGAGTGGGTGTCATCAGGTCAGGGTGGAGCATGTGTCATCAGGTCAGATTGGAGTGTGTGTCATCAGGTCAGGATGGAGTGTGTGTCATCAGGTCAGGGTGGAGTGGGTGTCATCAAGTCAGGGTGGAGCCTGTGTCATTAGGTCAGGGTGGATTGGGTGTCATCAGGTCAGGGTGGAAAGGGTGTCATCAGGTCAGTGTGCAATGGGTGTCATCAGGTCAGGGTGGAGAGGGTGTCATCAGGTCAGGTTGGAGTGGGTGTCATCAGGTCAGGGTGGAGCC